GAAATAGTATGTGGTTACCGAAGGTTGTTCAGAGTCCCGGATGAGATCCCGGACAAGATGAGGAGCACCGGAATGGTCCGGAAGTGAAGATCGGTATATTGGACGAAGGGTATTGGAGTCCGGAATTGTTCCGGGGGTACCAGGTGATGACCAGCGTGTCCGAAAGGGGTTTCGGAGGCCCCGGCAAGCGTTAGGGGGCCCAATGGGCCAAGGGGAGAGGGAACATTAGCCCACTAAGGGGCTGAGTGCCCCTCCCACCCCATCTCACGTAACCAGGAGAGGTGGGGCGCCACCCCTAGGGCAGCCGCCCCTCCCGGCTTGGGGGGCAAGTTTCCTAGGGGGTGGGGGCGCCCAAACCCATCTAGGGTTTCCCCTGTGGCCGCCGCCCCTCCCCTAGGGAACCCTAGGGCGCCTCCCCCTCCTCCCTTTCCCCTATATATAGTGAGGGAGAGAGAGAGGGCAGTCGCACCCTTCCCCTGGCGCAGCCCTCTCCCACCTCCAACACCTCGTCCTCCTCCGTAGTGCTTGGCGAAGCCCTGCCGGAGAACCACGAGCTCCATCACCACCATGCCGTCGTGCTGTCGGAGTTTTCCCTCAACTTCTCCTCTCCCCTTGCTGGATCAAGGAGGAGACATCCCCGGGCTGTACGTGTGTTGAACGCGGAGGTGCCGTCCGTTCGGCACTAGGATCATCGGTGATTTGGATCACGACGAGTACGACTCCATCAACCCCGTTCACTTGAACGCTTCCGCTTAGCGATCTACAAGGGTATGTAGATGCACTCCCCTCTCCCTCGTTGCTAAATGACTCCATAGATTGATCTTGGTGATGCATAGAAAATTTTAAAATTCTGCTACGTTCCCCAACACCTTCTATCTTGGCAGAGGTTCTGCGTCGGAGGAAAATGATAGTTACCTCTTCACCATCTGCGTGGTTGGCCTTTGTATCATCCTGATAGTAATCAGTGTCAATAAGATGAATAAAAAAGGAGCCAAGAGAGTCAAGATCTACCTCAGACGCATTGTCCAAAGTGAAGAGATTAGTTGCATCTGCCTTCTTTTTGACAGGTTTCTTGGAAGCCTTGGTCTTGGTCCTGACTTTCTTGGCCGGCTTATCTTGCAATTTCTTGCTCCAAAAGGGAGCATCAACTTGAGAAGGAAGCAAACCAAGATGAAAAATGTGCAATGCAATATGGATAATGATTATAAGAAAATTGAGATAAGGGACTTACGGCTGGAGCCGGGTTAAGAGTGCAGAAGGGGTTCAGCCCCACTTTGTTGCAAGTCTCTAAACTCTTGTTGAGCAGAGTCTTAGTCATATCATTGATCTATTTATCTTCCAGACAGATTGGAGAGTAACGCAGTGGATCTTTGACATCGCCGGTATACTCACACATTAAGCCAGGTCGGCGGCTTAAGGGTAAGATTCTCCATGCGACCCAGCATCGAACCAGATCGACTCCAGTCAAACCATTGGCCATTAAGGCTCTAATCTTTGAAAAAATAGGCATATATTTGGCCCGTTCTCCTATGCTGATCCGTTCTGGGAGAGGATGTCTGTTGCTAAGCCGGCTTTCACGGTAACCCGGCAGAGGATTTTCACCTTCTGGAGATGTGTCTTTGCAGAAAAACCAAATCTGGTTCCAGTCCTTCGGATGACTGGGGGATATGGCGGCAGGAAAAGTGGCTTCTTTCCGACTCTAAATCGAAATGCCAGCTAGTTCTAGACTGTGCCCGTCTGTGAACTCGGTCTGGCGGTTCAAGTAATAGAATTCCCTGAACAATTCTACAATGGGCTCTTGTTGAAGGTACACTTCGCCGAAAACTTGAAAGTTGCAGATGTTTGAAACAGAGTTGGGCCCGATATCTTGCAGATGGAGTTGGAAGAAATGCAACACATCATGAAAGAATTTTGAGCTGGGTGGGGTAAACCCCCGAAACATATGATCTGTAAAAACTATGACTTCACCTTCTTTTGGGTCAGGGGTGGTTTCTGTTCCTGGGACTCTCCAATGGATAACGTCTTTTGCAACTAAGGCACCCACTTGGACATACTCATTCATCGTCTGTTCTGTGACCCGGGAGGCGACCTAGTTGCATGAAGTGACAGTTTTGGTCATTTGGTTGATGAAAAGCCTAGAAAGGAAAAGTATTGTCGGATTAAGGTTATGATGTTAAGTCGTCCGGTGATCAAAAAGTAAGTGCATTATGCAAGGCCAATTCGTATGTAGAGAATACGTGCTATAAAGGTTGGCATGATTAAACCAGAAGACGATGCTGGGTTATACAGATTCTGAACACATACTAACGGTTTAAAGCGGGGCTAATGGTGTTTGGTGGGTTACGGCCTATCATATAAGCCGCCCGCGCGGCTGCAGTTCACAAGTATCTCAAGACCTATAAGTGAAATTTTGCCAAGTACTGAACAAATAGGTTCCACGGTTCAGTTCTACGATTTTGGATCTACAGCAGTTCAAAAAATAAAATAAATCTCAAACCTAAGGTTGAGGCAGTGGAAGAACTCATGTATTCAGATGGGATCTAGTACAGAAAGGGCACCCTCTACGATTGGAAAGGGATGCTAGAACTACTGCCGCACAACTTCAGTGTCATGTTCAGATCCAACTACGCGTTCTAAAGAGAAAAATGAAGAACACCTACGAATGGCGAAAACCCTAATGCAGATCTGCTATGAGGAAAGGTGAGTACTTACGGACGCTGATGAACAACAGAAGTCCGCCGCCAGTTTTCTGGTCTGTTCAGGTCGATGCAGCGGCCGAAGTTGAAGTTGTTGGCGAAGGCTGGCGGCGGCGAAGCTTGGTTGCAGTGGAGTCGCGAGGAGGGAGAAGAAGATGTGAGGGCAGGGGTAAAAGGTGAAAAGAAGGGCCCCCTGTCCCTGTTTATAAGGAAGTGACTAGATGGCATGCGCGGGAATCGAGGAGGCCAAAAATGATTATGTGGCCATATGGACGCCTCGATTTTCAGGAGGTCTATTAAGGTAAAAGATCTGTTGAGATGTCCTGGGCTTTGTGCGGAGTTAACGCGCATGATGTCATGGCGGGTTACCATGGTTCTGTGGTGTGACGTCATGGCGGGTTACAGCGAATTGGTAAGGAATTGATGATGGAAGATTCTGCTAAGTCAAGTGGTGAAGATTGATGTGAACAAGTTTAAATCAACCTAGGGCCTAATGTTGGGGATATAACTACTAGGTATGACCCGCCCAGGAGGGGTCGGGTCATGCCATTGGCGACTTAAAGACAAAGAGGCCCGATAAGGTCCAAGAAGACATGAAGATGGCAGTTCATAGAGCAAGCCTATTGAGGGCCCAAGACCCAGAAGCGACTTGAGGCCCAAAGGTGTGAGCCGCCATATGTTAACCTGTTTTGTAAGGCAGGTTTAGTTAGAAACTGAGCCGGTTACGTTTGTATGAGCCCGCCGGGACTCTGTAAGCCGCCGAACATCAATCTGTATATAAAGAGGTGACCCGGCGGCGGGTTAACTTAAGAAACAGACAATCGAGAACTAGGTCAAACGTATTCGCTCCCTTGTAATTGAAACTTAAGCAATACAACTAGAAGCAGGACGTAAGCTTTTACCTCGTTGAGAGGGGCCGAACCTAGGTAAAACTCTATGTGTCCTTTGTTCCGTTCAACCCCTTCAAGCTAACCTAGTGCGATGGTTCCACACCTAAGTCCTTTCACTACGGCATCTATCATGGCAAAATCATGACACAGGGGGTTTCCTGCAAAAGCAAAAAACTGACTTAAAGCTAGCCTATGGGTTGATTACCAGAAACATAAGGGGGTTTCCTGTAAAAATGAAAATCTAATTTGAAATTGAACTACAAGTTGATTACCAGAAACATCAGGATGTTTTCTATAAAATAGCATTGACGAACTAAGATACCTGTTCACTTTATTAGTGATAGATAGATATATAAACATGGGTCGCTTCCGTGCCGCTTTTTCTCGTGGCTTGCTATGAAGAACCTTTGTTGGACCTCAGACAGACTAGATCGAAGGGGTTTGGCTCATCAAGACTATCTGTTCTACAATCAACATGAGGAGACGATTACACACATCCTACTTGCGTCTTTGCGGGGACGATTTGGTTCTCGCTATGGAGCTCTATGGGGACGCCAGACCTAATGCCAACGGTTGACGACACTTTGGTGGAGAGGTGTACCACGAGAAGCTCAACTAGGTGCCCGCAAAAGGAGTTGAGGGCGATCATTACACTAACCTTATGGGAGCTATAGAAGCATCCTAATGCGGTCGTCTTCGATGGAGTAGCCCCATCGCTTGCGCAAACAGTCAAGAATATAGAGCGTGACGGGCGGACGTGGAGATGAGCTGGACTACTTAAAGCAGGACTTATTTCTAGTACTTTGGTGCTCTAGCTCTAGCTAACAGGAACCTATGTCTAGTGGATGTTTTGTTTCACCTTACTTCATGTAGTACCATCTTTTCTCTGTACCCAGCATAGTGCTAATGACATTTTGCCCTATAGTAGACGTCTTAACGGCGAGCCTTTACCAGCGGGATTACTCGAACTCGCTATCCTTCCTTCCCCTTTTCCTATCTCTCAGTCTGTATGAACTGAAAATTTCCGTGATCAATGCGAAGGGGGCAGCCCGGTTTCCACAAATAGCTAACAGGAGTGGACCAAAACATGATTATGGGCAACCAAAGTCATCTAACGAACCCTTGCGATTGCAGCATAATCCAAGAGACAAGACAACCACGGTTGCACAGGAACACTACTGGATGAACATCCAGCTTACAGTTCATCACTAGCAAAAGGACGCAGTGTGTCAGAGCCTACCCACTACAGGCACATGGCTAACCAATGTGAGTTTTTGGTTATAGTCTAGTTTAGTGGCGCACCAGAACAGACGGTTCAGGTAGCAGCAGCATCCCAGGAAGCCATCTGATATTGCAATCTCACCTAGAAGGCATGCAGATCAAAATTTTGGCATTCCCAAGTTTTCAGACCCGGTCAAAGATCTGTGCTGGCCTTGCTCCCTTCGCCTGTAGGGTTTTCAGGTACAGCTGATTGTGGTTGATCTTGCTGCTGTCCTCCGCTTGTTTCAGGATGGAAATTGATGGGGAACTTGGTGACCCGGGGCTTGTCGGTCAAAATATTTCTCTGCACCCGGTCAATCAGCAGCTTCGCCGGGGGTTCTTCCCTAAGTTGCTCATCATCATAATCATTGTTCACGTAGTAGCCTACTCTGATGAACTCCTGCCCCATGTATGAACAGGTCAACAAAAGCACCGTGACACCGATTATGTCCTCCTCGCGGATCTTTGAGGGATCAGGGGGGTCGGCCTGAAAACAAAAACAGACATATCAGTCTGGTGTTGCAAATTTTAATCTGAGGTAGGAGCAAAGCAGCTGCCCAACTGTAATATGAACAGGCAGAACTCTGTGCAGTTGTGAAACATCATTTTCATATCAGAGTTCATGATGCAGATCACAGAGTCGTAGATCAGTAACCTATTTACCTCCAGAACAAAACGGTATGTCCCAACATTCACAGGGCCAACAAGCACACTCTCAAGTTGCTGATCATAGTTCTCATCTTCAGCTGATCCAACATATATAAGCTTCCACTCCAGATCTGGAAGGCCGACCAACAAACTCATTGTTAGTACTTCACCAGACTCAGCCAGGATAAGAACAGCATTATACTCATGGTACTCATAACAAATGGTAGGTTCAATATTTAATAGGTCAAAACTATACAGATGCAAAACGGCTATTTTTTTAGTCATGGAAAGTTTTGCACATCTTCTCATTAAGGGGAGGTGTGTATTATTATTAAAGGATATTATCAGAAGGAAAAATGTCCACTGCCCTCACATGCGCATAAACACATACCAAACAGAAACAGAAACACCAACAAGCTCCTTCTACAATATCAGTAATTGTTAATTCACCAAGAAAACAATATGAGAATGATAAGAAAATAGTCACCAAAGGCATAACGACAATTTGATGTGACACCCAATTAATATTGGTTAGTAAAAAGAAATGCTTCAGCAAATTGGTCAACAACTATGTCTTGTGCCCAAACAGAAGATAAAAAAAAGTGCCACGATAAAGAAGTGGCAAGATAAGAATATATCAATCATGATCCCATGATCATCATCACTACACTAATGTAAGCAGAGATAAAACATGAACATGAATTCCCGTAACTATTCTATAAACCATAGATTTTTACACAGAGAACTAATCAAATGTTGACATCCAAATCAATCTCCTGGGATGTAGATGCACATGCCAAGTATAATATACATTTACTAGACCAGGAAAGTGGCAACTCACAAATTATCCTTATTTTGTTCAGTCTGTAGTATCGATTTCATACAAGAACCAGTGCATTTTTCATTATTGTAACTATACATGATTTTCGTTAAATATGCATCACTACAGAATCATATTTTTATCGGCAAGTATCATAAACAAAATAGAACATAATGAAACACGTAAAGCTCCAGAAAACTGTACTCATTGTCGCCGCCTTAATTTTAGAGAACTCAACTAAAAGAACCTGTAGACTAGTCAAATATACCTTAATAGCATGGCCCTATTTAATACACTGTATCCAACAGTCTAACAATCATCAATTAAAACCGTTGATTCTTAAACTGAAGATTAACATTCACAAACCAGAGTCCATCAAACTTGCATAGTAGAATACCAGAAGCATAGCATCTACACACAATATACATGTTGCATGGTGAAGAAGACATTTACTTTGCACATAAAGTGAATGAAAAACACACATATTTCTACCTAGACCACTTAAATTGTATATGTCAGTCATCCCATGTTCATATAATCAGTTGCAGTGAAGGATTCTGAATCTAACACTAGACAAATTCACTGTAACAGGCCAATACATTTCCCAGAGGTAATTGGTCTAGTACCAACTGAGACCATACACATCATGATAACAGGCGGCTTATCAGACCAATCTCTGCTACTTTCTGCTAAAACTTGTATAGCTACCAGAGCTCTGTTTCAATGTCAAAGCAGAAGGAAATGATCTAATAATTCCCTTCACTCGTCAAAATGGACTAATCACAAACTAGGGTAAATCTAGGACACCCATCCACAATTCCGAGCAACTTACTCAATCCAATCGAGTACAGTAACTGCTCCACCACCACTCTAAAACCCTAGAATACAAGCCGCAATAACCGCAGGCTCCAACCCCTACTTCAGCAGCCTCGCATATCCAG